CGTAGGGGTCGTAGACGTGCACCTGGGAGCAGGGCGTGAGGCTGGGGTCCCGACCCCGGGCACGCTGGAGCCGCAACCCAGCCGGCGTTGGCCATGGCGGTGCCGTGCCTCGGTTTCCCCCTCGTGCGTGACGGGGCCCAGTGTCCGAAATGCCAGGGGCAGCCTTTGCTCAGGGCCCCGAATCGCCTACCTGCGCTCAGGTCACCTGAACTGTATCGTGTGTCCCCCCGTCACCTGAACTGTGTCCCCCCCATCACCTTAACTGCCCCCATTCCCCTTAACTTGGCTTCTCTCACCGTAACAGTCTTCCCCATCACCTTAAATTCGGCTCCGTTCCCCGTAAGCGTCCCTATTCCCCTTAACTGTGTCCCCCACCACTGCACCTCTGCCCTCGTCACCCCAAACCAGGCTCACCCTTGGCTCTGCCACCTTCCATCGGTGGCACCCCGAGCCGACTGCTCCATCCCCACCCCTTCTCCTCAACCTTTTTCCCTCGTCTGGCTCCAGGGCTTTTACTCCCCGTGTCCCGATGGGCACAGGGTCTTGGGGGGCCACCGGGTCTTGGGGGGCCACCCTCCAAGTTCAGCATCAGCCCCGGCAGGGGGAATTCGGGTTGGTGTAACCCCCACCCACGCCCTGCCCGAAGCCCGGGCCCCTGCTTTGGGGGATGAAACCTCACCGGGGTGGATTTAGCCTCCAGCACGGCCATCTTCCAGGCGCTGCAAATGAAACGGAGGGACCCAGTTTTGGGGTGGGAATGGGCCCCGCTGGGCACACGCGTCCCCCTCCCTCCCCTCCCAAGTCAGCTCGGCTGTGGCTGCAGGGCTGGCGCTGGGCTAATGGGATGGGATGGTGCCAGGAGGTGCCCGACGCCACAGGGATGGGCACGGGGCTAAACCCTCTCCCTGGGAATGGCCCCGGCTAAAACAAGGGCAGGCAGGAAAACGGCATCTAAATCGGGGGGGGGGAAAGCGCGTAACAGATGGATTGCCATTCAACTGGGGTCAAGCTCAATTGACCAAGCTCAGCTTGGCCGCGGCTGAACATCTCCCTCCATCTAAGTTCAGCTGAAGGTTTCCCAATTCTTAGTTTTTATATATATTTTTTTTTAAATTTTTAATAAAAAAATTTCCACTTTTGTAAAAATAAAATTCTTCATTTTCATAGAAATAACTAGAAGGGGAACAGCGCTAAAGGCGGGCGTTTCCTCCTGCTGGGCATGGCCTTAGGCCAATAGAGATTTCACTTTCACACTATTTTATTGCCAAATAGCGATGAAAACCCTTCCCCAGTGACCCTCAGTTGGGCCGAGAGGTGATTTCTCATCCGGGAGGGAAACCCGCCCCGCAGGAGACCGACTGCTTAAAAATAGCTGCTTCTGGCTCTGAATGATCCAGCGGGAAAACCAAATCTGCGCCTCTCGCCCCTGCGAGAGCAAACAAGAGCTGCGTGGGGTCTCAGCCACGGGTGGGACCTGCTGGGGGCGGGCTGGGGCTGGAAAGAGCCCGGGATAATTGGGGTGAAAAAGCCACGGAGGGGATTTTTTGGCTTACACGGCGTCGTCCTCGCTCTCGGCGCACAGCGTCGTCTTGGAGCCGTCACGCAGCACGACGGTCAGCAGGCAGTCGCGGCTCTTCCCCTCGGGCGGCTGAACGTCTGGGAAGAGGAGGGGCAGGATCCGGCCTGAGTGAGAAAGATGCCCCGGAGACCCTCCCCGCCTGCCCACGCGCCCTCTCGGCCCCAAATTACCCCGGCACGAGCAGCCTCCCCCCGCCTGCTGCCAGCAGATGCCACCATGAATGCCGCTGGGAAGGCCGTGCTCGCAATTTGTGTTTAATTGCGGCTCCTGTCTCCACTTGCAAGACCCAGTTGGGATCTCAAAGGTTAAAAGCCGACACGAGCGAAGAGCTGGCAAGCAGCAACTTCCACCCCCATGGCAGAAAGGAAAATGGAAGGACGGAAAATTGCCAAAAAAACTCGGCCGAACTGCCTTCGCTTTAAATTTGCCAGATTGCAGCAGGCACCCAAATTTTGTCAAAGCACGAGACGCTCGCCGCTGGGGTCGGATCACGCGCAAGAACGAAGTCTTAAATCCATGAGGCTCGTTTGTGCCTGCACCTTCCCCCAGCTCCGAGCCCGGCGGGACGCTCCGGTGAGGATAAACCTTTGGCTTTGTGCTCCCACCGTGGCGTCCCGGCTTCGCCACTGCTCGCAGCCCAAGAAAGGCGCTTTGTGTGGAGGCCGTGGGCTGCCGGGGCCGAGCCGAGCTGCTGCTTTGTTCTCCTTGTTTGTGCGAGACGGCGAGGGATGAGTCAGGGCCGGGGGATCGTGTTTTGAACACGCGCAAACCAGGAGGAGAGTTTCTCCTTCCTTCCCCATGGAAAAACAACGGAAGAAGACGCAACGTGCATAGAATCATAGAATCACTTTGGGTGGAGAAGACCTTTGAGATCATGGAGTCCAACCTTTAACCTAACCCTGCAATCCCACCACTAAACCCTGGCCCTCAGCACCTCATCCATCCTT